ATCCAGGATTCTTGCCAGTTTGGGCGAGGGAGCCCAGATTTGTCAGTGGGCACTGACTCTGCTCAGTTGACAAGGTCACACACAGAATTACCAAGGTTGGTGTTTTCCAAAGTCTATTGTAGGGGCTATTGGTTCTCCAAGACAGTGGTCAGTGTTACCTGGAAGAAGCTGTGACACGGGACATACAAGCAGAATTCTAGGCCCCACAGAGCTAACAAGTTTGTTGATGATAGGCTTTTCAGAGCCTTTAACTGCTAATGTACATTGTAATTTTCTAAGAAGTGACAATAATTGACATCCTTTTCCAAAGTGGTTACCACAGAATTTTTTTTAATAGCCCTCACCCCCACCTTCACTGTAATTAAATGTTGTACAAAACTCATTTGGGAAATAATGGTTTAAGTAAACCTGAAAATAAATGTTAATGGCTCATTCAGTATTTACTTTCCTCTTAGCTGGAACCAAGATATGTTAGAACTTGATGTTTCTGATAGTCACGAGGCTGAGAGCTAAACATTTATTTAATTTTTATTTTATGAAGCTTAACTGACCTGCTCGAAGTCTGTCTTTATGTCCCAGTCCCTTCTTCAGTATGCAAGTTACTTCATCATCATCCTCTCCATGCGGTGTCTTCTGGACACCCAGCCCTCAACACTGCCCCCGCCCCAGACTGCGTGGAGTACTCACTGCCTGACCTTCGGCTTGTCCTGTCTTGTTCTGTTTGTGTGCCCCTGTTTGGTGAGAGTTTCTGGCTGGCCTTTGCCCCTGGTTCCTGGGAGGCAGCCTCGAAATCTTTGGAATTTTTCCAAGTTTTAAGAGTGTCTTTGTTTGGGCCTCTCAGACCACACCAGTGTCTGTGTGAACTCGGTCACTCAAGAGTGGGGGCTGGCCATGCCAGAAAGATTGACCGCATGGCAGAAATTTGGGACTTTGAACCACACGATGTCCGGGCAGGAGAAAGGACTGAAGAGAGTCCCAGGCCAACGCTTCAATGAGTCGTAGCTATATAATGAGGCCCCAATAAAAACCGCAGCCACCAAAGCTTGGAGAGTCTCCCTGGTTGGAAATACTCATCAGTGGTCACACATCAGTGTGCTGCGAGTGTGCCGCACTCCGACTCCCCAGGGAGGGGACGTGACGCTTCACATTTGGGACGTCCCAGACCTCCCCATCTGCAACTCTTCTTCTGGCTGGTTCTGATTCGTGTCCTCTGGCTGTAATAAAATTGTAGTCCTAAGTATAGTGCTTCGCTGAATTCTGTGAATAGCTCTAGTGAATTATTGAACCCGAGGGGGAAGTAGGAACAACCATATTTGCGGCCACTCAGTCAGAGCACGGGTGTCTGACTGAGGACAGTTGGGTGCCTGTAAGCTCTAGAGCGTGTCCTGACTCCACAGCGGGTGTCAGAAGTCACGGCAATTCTACTGAGTGAAAGAAGTCACACATAAAAGAGTACATGTTATAGTCTTTAAAAATGCAAACTACTCTAGATACAGGGTGGGCATAAGTAGGTTTACAGTTGTTCAGATAGACAAGACATGCAGGTTATGACTATCACAATAGTTTTATTAACATAAAAGAATGTCACTCACAGCTGTAAAACTACTTTTTCCTACCTCCGTATAGTGACAGAAAGCAGACCAGTAGCTGTCTAGGACCAGGGTGGATGGTAGGGGAAAGGAGGGATTACAAAGGGGCAGCAGGAAATTTGGGGGGGGTGATGTATTCGTTCCCTATGTTGATGTTCATGATGGTTTCATAGGTATATAAACATGTTTAAAGTGTATCAAATTATACAATTTAAACATGTGCAGTATGTTATATGTCAATAATACATCAATAAAGCTATTTTTTTAAAGGCTCAGTGTAGTCCTCACCTGTCATGACCCTTTCTAGAACCTTCCATGGTTTATTCAAAGTCTACTGAATCAAAATCTTCCATGATCTGGTCCTAAGCTACCTTTCTAAGCCTTGCCTTTCAGCATTGCCCTACACAAATTTTTTGCTACCACCGAACAGTTTTTGTTGCTATTCTCCAAGTAGACCCCATACTTCCCACCTTTGTAACTTTGCTCATGCCGTTCCCTTTGCCTAGAATGCCTTTCCCAAGTTCCTACCCTTTCTCTACCTGTTAGGTTTACTATCCTTTATGCTTAGCTTACATGTAATCCCACAAAACCTTTCTTGAATTCCTGAGCCGGAAATGATCGCTCTTTCCTAAACTCCCATAATGCTTGCTTTTGTGAGGCATTTTCCAGTGTCCTGTGCTTCCTTATGTATGTGTGCATGAACAGAAGTCAGCCTCCCGATTAGACTATCAGCTTCCTGAGGGTGGGGGGCTACTCATTTTATTCACTCCTGTATTTTCCACAAGTCACGTAATCGTCTACAGTAGAGGCTAGTCAAATAGTAAATAGCCTAAAACTCAAGTTTCTCAGCATCCTTCCCATAAATTTTTTTAGGTCCTTAAACTGTTGTATTGCTCAGTCCCCTCTTCCACATCATGCTTCTCTTCCTCCTTCTTCCAACGAAATCACACTCCCTTTCTTTTTTCTTAAGCCAAGTCCTGTTCCTCATCCTCTTGTTTATGTTAGGGGGCCACATGTGTTTGTATTTTAGCATTATTGTCTGTCTGTCTGTCTACATAGTAAATACTATCTACTTTCCAGTAAATTTCAAGCGATAGCTGCCTTAAATATTAATATTTAAGTTTCCATCTTTGGTCCAATTTCTTGGCCATAGAGCATAGTGATTAAAGTTTCAGGTTTCAATCTCTGGCTGGTGTAGCTCAGGGTGTTGAGTACGGGCTATGAACCAAAGGGTCTCTGGTTCAATTCCCAGTCAGGACACATGCCTGGGTTGCAGGCCAAGTCCCCAGTGGGGGCCACCTGAGGCAACCACATAAGGATGTTTCTTTCCCTCTCTTTCTCCCTCCCTTCCCCTCTGTATCAAAATAAATAAAATTTAAAAAATAATAAAGTTTCAGGTTTCAGCACCACCAGGCTGGATCTGAATCCCAATGTTGCCACCTACTAGCTGTGTGACCTCAAGCAATTTACTTAGCCGTCAGTTTTGTCATCTGTAAATTGGAGGTGGTAGAAGGCTACGACCTGAAATGTTTTGAGGACTAAATAAGTGAGTATACATGAAGTGTTTAGGAAAGTGTCTAACGTATAGGAGCCACTCAATAGCTAGTATTCTCTTCACTGCATGCTAAGAAGCATTCAGCCAAAGTGTGGTGAGACATGCAGGGCTGGAAAGGGTAACCAAGGGGATCTGTGCTTGGCCAGCCACACAGAATCACTGGGAGGCACCATTAACACTGCAGATTCTGGGCTGCACCTGAGAGATCCTGATGGACCCCAGAAACCCGTGTTTTTTAAATGCTCCTCAGGTGGCTTGAGTGGCCAGCCAGGTGTGGAATTCAGCATAGCAGAAAATGCACTGAATTTGGGGTGAAAAGGTGTTTTTGCCTGTGACTCCATGTATGACTTCTTCGAGACTCCATCTTCTTGTTTGTGAAATGAAGCTCACAAACTTGATTTACATGTATTCCTAGGGTTGCTGTGGGAAGTCAAGTGGCTAAAGTCATTTCTGCGGGAAGCAGGCCTGCTGTGCAGAAAGGAACTCAGGCTTTGAGACAGGCCCGAATGCAATTTCCACTTCTGAGACTGTGCTGAGACATTGCCAGCCCTGTCTTCTTCCTCACAGGACCTTGATTTTGCTTGGGGTATAAATGTGCCCAGTGGAAAATACTCCACCTCCCGTACTGCTTTGCAGTTGAGGGTGGCCATGTGATGCAGTTCACTCCAATCTAAGGATTTCCAGGAAGGTTTTTGTTTTCCTGGTATAGGCATTCAATCCTGTTGTTCCCCTTGCCCTCTTCTTCCTGCCTGGAATGTGGATGAGAGGCTTGGAGTTGCAGCAGCCACCTTGTTATAAGTGACCAAATACGGGAGGAAGGTCTACAACCTGAGGATGATGGCAAAGAACTGAAGAGATTTAGGTCCCCAGAGGCATCACTAAGCAGCTGGACTGCCTTTGGACTGCCTGCCCCTAGACTTCTTATGCGAGACAAGTGAATCCCTAAATTATTTAAGAGGTTATTTTTTCTTTTGGTTGGTTATTTGTACCCTAAAGCTACTTAGGAAGAATTAAAAAAATAAAGTTGCTAAAACCATATCTGATCCAGAGTACATTCATGTGTGCGTACATTCATGTCTCACCCTCTCCAGCTGTGAGACTTTCTCTGCATTTGTAAAATAAGGCCTCTTCTAAGTCCAATGTCCGATATTCACCTGATTATAGAACAGAATAACTGGGCTCTGGGGGATGGGCCCTGGGATAAAGGGCCATTTCCCGGGCCACAGGGAGGGCTGGTGACTAGGCACAGGTGCAGTGTGGGCTGCCCGTAGCATGTGAACCCCACAGAGGCCACCCCATCCTAATCAAAGCAGATGCACGCAATCTCCATGTGCTCCCGTGAGGTGAAGTGTACAACACGCAAGTCCAAAGGACACAAAATCACCTTTGCTCTGACATAAGCATGGAGATGAATCTAAGGGTACTTTCCCTGAAGACACACATACCTGAGAGTAAGAATGAAAACCTATTAACCACCCCTCTCCCCTGGACACGAGTTACATTTTCCATCACATTCTCCTATTGGAAACTTTGGTATGTGGGTGGGAGCGTCGGCACCTGTGTATCAGTGGAGTGAGAGAGAAAACGGTTTCGGTTTTCATTACAATTCTTGCCTGCCCAAGCACGGCCTTCGTAGGATCAGGCTCCTGCCTTTTAGGACCCACAGGAATGTACATGACTCATCAAAGCCGGAGTTACGTTGCCACCTGAGTCCGCCACTGCAGGTCCCCACTGCTTCCCGGGCACTGCCAGGGCGATCTGAGCACTCCAGCCATGGCTGAAATCACCCGCACCAGTCAGCGCTAGCAAAGCGCTCGCAAACCATATACACCAAAAATACAGTGACTGCTGAGAACTTTGGTTTTTAGCAAATGTATTTTTCCTCTATTATTAAAAAAATTGAACTGCAAAAAATGAAGTTCCCTTTTACTATCCAAGTGAAGAAAATCATACAGTCAGTGAGATGAACCTGTGGGGCTTCAACATAAAGACACTTTCTCTCTTCCTCAGCTCCCAGCAGCCCCAGGCAGGACTTGGGGATTTTGTCCTCAGCAGGCTGAGTTCCGTCCAGTGTTCTGGCTCCTCCCCAGGTCGGCACATCCCGATGTTCCCTCAGCCCTTCCAGTTTGAGAGGTCCTCCCTCATGGCCTTCACAAGCCAGTCCGGTTCCATCCCCTGCTCAGAGTCGCTTGTGTCACTTGCCTCCATGGTCAGCAGCTTTGAGTAGTTGATTTGCCGCTCCTGGGGCAGTCTTGGCCAGATGGACAGGAACAGAATCAGCCAGAGCAACAGCACCACGCAGCTGGCCTGGTAGAGGGCGGCCAGGCTGAAGTGCCGCACCACGAAGCCCCCCACAAAACTCCCCAGGCTGGCTCCGCCCCCATAGAAGTGACCTTCAAACACTGCTCTCAGAGGTCTCTCCGTTCTGGGAGTGGCCAGGTCCTCTATGGAAGCCCCCACTGCCCACCACAGAGCCCCGTTGCTGACAGCACTCAGGATCTGAACGGGGAGGACGGACCACCAGCTCCAGAGGAAAGAGTAGTACAGCAGCTGCCCCGAGAGGCAGCCCAGCCCCAGCCCCACCGTGCCTGCTCTGGACAGTTTCCTAAGCAACGTGGTTTTGAACGGATGAAGCAGAATTTCCCCCAGCAAGCCCAGGGCAACTGAGAAACCCATGACCAGCTCGCTGCTCCCATGGTCCTTCATGTGCCAGAATAGGAAGTTCTGTACTGTGCTGGTGATGGCTCCTATCACAAAGACAGTAGAGGCTAGGAGAATGAGGCGGGGGTCGCCCTCTATCAGAGACAGTGCTTTGACGGCTCTGTAGCTGGGCTCCCGCTGCCTGCATTTGGGGACAGGAAAAGCAATGCTCACCAGTAACGCCAGGCTGCTGACCAGCGAGTAGCCATAGAAGTGCACCACACCCGGGGGGCCACTCGTCATCAGGAAGCAGTCCAGCTGCTCCACCAAGGCTGCGATGCCACACACGCCTGCTGACGTGCCCAGCAGCCTCCAGAACCACAGGTTTCTGTAACGGTCAGTGGCGTCCACAAAGTCCAGGTATTCGAATAGGCTGTCATCCGCCACCTGCTGCAGAGGGGCTGCCAGCAGCTCCCAGAGCACCATGAACCCCAAGGAGAGAATGAAAGTCCATCGCAACCCTTCCCAGGAGAAATCAAGGTCTCCCGAGTTCCCCTTGGCTGCTGACAAGTTGGCTGGACTTCCCAGGGCTGAACCCCCAGCAAGCAAAGGGTGGGCAGTACTGACCCCCTTAAAAGCGCCTTCCCAGGGAGTGTTTTTCAGCGCTGGGGTGATAGGCTGGAGAACTTCGGGTGTGGTCCTGGCTCCTTCAGCAGAGCCCACCAAGTGTCTGGGCGGATGACTGACAGGTTCTCGGACACTTTCCCGTGGTCCCGTTCTGAAGCCGGAGGCGTCCCCGGTCCCAGCGCTGCTCTCGGCTGGGAGGCTGGGGGCCCGCGCCGGGCTGCGCGAGGCCGGTCGGGCCGGGGCCGAGGTCCCGGTGAGCGCGACCTCCGGCGGCAGGACGGCGGGGGCCGCGCCGCGGCTGCGGTTGCAGGCGCGGTCGCCCGGGGCTCTGTCCCGCGGCGGCACCAGCGCCATCAGCAGGCTGGCTGCCCCCGAGCCCAGCAGCGAGCCCATCAGAAGCGCCCTCCTGTTCCGGTAGCTTCGGGCCAGGAAGGCACAGAACGGGGCCCAGAAGGCTGCGATCAGGTGCTTGGTCCCCATGAGCAGGCCCACCCAGGGCGCGGCCAGGCCCAGCTGCCTCAGGTAGAGGGTCAGGAACGGGGTCACCGCGGCCTCCCGGGCCCCGCACAGCAGCTGGAAGAGCCGCGCCACTCGCAGCGCGCGGCGGACGTCCCACTGGGGGTTGGCGCTCATGGCCGCCCGGCCCCGCCGGACCCCGGCCGCCCGCGGGGGGCGCGGCGCCCGGCGCCCAGAGGGAGGGGGGCTCGCGCGGAGGAGCGAGCGGGGCCCACTCCCGCCTCGGGCGGCGCCGCGGTCGCCGGGTCAACGGCCGCCCCCGCCCCACGTCCGGCGTCCGGCGTCCGGCCCGGAAGTGGCCCCGCCCCGCGGCCGGCGCACCTGCGGGCCGCACCTGCGCCGCACCTGCCACGTCCCGCACCTGCCACGTCCCGCGGCCTCCGCGGCCCCGCCCCGCCCGCCTCGTCCGGCCCCCGACGCTGTTTCGCGTTGCTCACAAATCTGAGTTAGATTCCTAAACTGCCTCAGGCGAGTGAAACTATCCGGGGGGCGGGGAGCGAGAATGGAAGCCAAGGTTTGAGCTCCCTTCCTCTTCTTCAGGTCTTTACCCAAATGCCTCATGATCAAGGACCACCTCGTTACTGTCCGCGACCGACCCGAATCAAACTTCAGCAGGGCAGCTCTTTTTGGCCCCAGGGCTTAGAGCTGTTTCAATAGATGTGAGCGCCCTGGAAGGGGCGTGACTGGGTGACACAATCTCCTTCATTTGGGAAGATCCCCAGGGAGGGCTTGACAGCTGAGGGTTGTCTTGGAGAGTCACCCCAGCAGCCCGCACCCGAGCATCCATCCTAGACCCCGAAACAGTGTGTATGTATTGGGCAGTTCTAACCCACGTTTAAAGTGTCCAGTTGGGGAGTTCGTACTCCAGAGGAGGTCAGCTAACATGGAATTTAAAAGCCACACTCCAGACACAGTTAATACAAGCACTTGAGCAATCTTAGAACAGCAAAAGGGACTTCGTCAATTAGCATGATCGATACTGGCAAAATTTCACTGGTGAAACAGCGGCGTCCAAGTCACATTGATTGGTTCTGGGGTTTTTTTTTGTTTGTTTTGTTTTGTTTTTTTGAGCAGTTTGTCCCCTGGTGAACAGAGCCTAAGAATCTAGATATTCCTGCACAAGCCACACCCTTTGGAATGGTGCCACAGGCTTCACTCCAAGATGGCCCAGTGAACTTTTGTTTCTTTGTTTAGAGCACCTAATTTGGTTGGAGTGGGGAGGGGAATCGGGTGGGTGGTGTACGTATAGCAGAATTTGGTCTACAAGTTGCTTTTATTGGGAGCTGGTAGAGAACTTGGTGGGAGAGGAGGCCCAGAGCCCTCCCCCAACTGTAACAACTGTTTACTTCAAGAACCTGGTAACGATGAATGCCCGGATTGATACCAATCACTCTGCATCACCCTGATGGCAGAGAGAAAAAAATCTAGGCACCTCCAGGTAAACTCACATTCACTGAAATCAGTCACTTCAGCCTTAAAACCAGCTCAGTGACATGGAGGGCTGTCCCTAGTCCCTCTCCTCTCTGGGTTCTGCAGCTCCAGTGGCGGCTCCCACGTCCAGCTGCTCCTTGGTCTTCCCCTGAGCTGACCGCCACTGAGGGAGGGGCAGGCACTGCGCACATTCGTGCCCATCCAGATGCTGCTCACAGCTTCACCTCTTCCCTTCTACTGTCAGACCCATTAAGCTTGTTTGCTTTCAACTACCTGAGAAAACCTCACCTGCTTCACATGCCCCATGAGGGCACACGAACTCTAAGGCTGCCCTTGGGCCCATCTACCTAGATACCCCAGGTAGACCTTCTTACCCTATTCCTCTAGGCAGTGAGAATGTGCTGTGGGACTTGCCCCAGTCTCAGGGCAACGAGGCCAAAAGGAAGAGCCTACCTCTCTGGTTTTGGATCTCCAAATTCGAAAGGGATTCTTCCACCTCCACCCCGCCCCCAATCCCTGGGGAATCCACCCGGGTGAAAGGGATGGACTCAAGTCAAATCCGTATGTTCTATTACTTTCTCCCCCACCCCATAACTAGTCCTGGGGGTGAGGGAAGTGGTTCTGGGTCACCAGTGTTCCCCATTTTACATGTGGGCAAAAGGCTTCGAAGTCAAAAGCCAAGAACTATGATGTCTCTAATCTCTGTTTCTCAAACTCGCCTGCATTCCCACCTCTGTTTGGGAACAGATCTGTTTAGGAGTGGGCAGGTAGACAGAACACACCAGTAAGTACCTCACAAAACTTGCCTGGCCTGTGGATTCATTAGGTTAGATTAAATACTGCTGCCAACTTCTATTCAAATACAAATATTGCTAGGTGTTAGACAAAAGCAGAAACACTTTAGTGTGTGTTTATTGAATCTGACACTTTCCTCTCACCTGGGAGAGAAGCCTGCCTGGGAGTGGGTGGGGGGCAGAGGCCTGCGTCAGGGAAGGGAGCAGACCTGGGAGGAGGAGGAGGAGGTATAGTTGCCTTTGCCTACTTCCCATTTTCCCCCAGGACACAGGTCCTTGGCCAAAACAGCAGCTGTCACTTTGGTTTTAAAGGCTTGGTGGGAGCTTGAGTAGGAGAGGTGGGAACTGAAAGTCAATGAAGGAGCAGACCTTTGTGCAAGGAGCTGGGCTTTGGACGTCCTTGGGCCTTCGTGTGGGCTGGGCTCCATCACCCTCCCCACGGCCAGCCTCCTTCTGCTCTGGGAACTCTCTGGCTCCTGGTCAGGGCTGGAAGCTGTCCGGGGCAGCCCAGCCTTGCTCAGGCCGATGGTGTGAGTATTCGGAACTGGTAGGGTAGTGTATCCTTCCTCTTGGGCTCGCAGCTCTCAGACTCAGCACTTCCGCTGCCCACTCAGGCTCACTGGACGATGCCGGAGAATGTGTTGATGGGCATTAGAAGGGGCTTGGGCTTGGCTCTGGTCCTTTCCATCTCCTGCTGGTGTGAGCTGAGCCAGAGTCCCTTGGACTTCTGGGCCCCGGAACATGGCTCTGGGCAGGGAGCAACCTCAAATCTGTGAGTGGAGAGACCAGCTCAGGAGACCAATCTCAGGGGTCAGAGCTGCTGGGGATTTTAAAGGTAGTCCCTTTATTGTAGGGTATAGAGGAAGGGGCCCCACAGAGGGCAGAGGAAGCATTGGAACAAGAAAGAGCACCCTGGGCCTAGGGCGAACAACTGGGAGAGGAGGACATGCCTGGATGGGTCACTGTGTGCCTTCCTTACCCAAACACACCTCTCCAGGGGACACCAATAAGGGTCACACGAACTGGGGGCACACACAGCTGCCACAGTAGGTCAGCTTGTGTTGAAGGGGCCAGTGCCAGTACCAGGCGCTGGATTAGGAGGGCTGCAGGCTGAGGGTTCATAGAGAAATTTCTGCTACCCAGGGTCAGCCATTCATTTCCCTTCTTCCTGGATTCCAGTCATAGGGCAGTGGCCGAAGCTCACACCCACCAGCACACCTGCTTGGCCACAGGATCTGCTTCTGGCAAGGCTAGAGGCAAGAGATGGTGGGGGCTGGCTTCTGCTTAGGGGTGCCCCGTCGGGCACGCAGCCCACGAGGCGGCGGGCCCAGTCTCACCTGACCACGTCCCTGAAAGTGCGTCGATGGTCCTTGTCCAGCACTAGCGTCAGCAGCCTCTGGTCCTGGCTCTGGATCTGGATGTTGGCTGCTCGGAAGGTGTTTGTCGCTGTCTGCAACAGAGACGTGCGTCACCTTTGTGACACATGGCCCTGCCGATTTCTCCCACCCTGACCTCTGGTGTGTTTCTTCAGTCGGCACATGGGGTCTCCGGCTCTCTTCCTGCACAACCCTAACCCCAACCCTAATCCCAATCCTAGTGACTCAGCAGTGACAGTCCCAAGGGAACATTCCCGTAGGACTGTCACTGCTTCTGAGCTGCTCTTGTCACTAGGGGCCTCAGTGTTTCTGCAGTTCTTTCCCAATCTGTCATCCTCAGTTTTGAACATGACCTGGAACACTGTGGCTAGTGCTTACCAGGTCATCAAGTTACCTGGGCACATCCTATGTAACAGGTATGTCCGGTGGAATTTTGTAAGTCCTGATCCCAGTTCCATGTTGGATTACATACAAAACCATTTCCCTGGGACAGACAGAGGGTCTAGAAAGGGGCCACCTATCCTCCCTGACCCCCCAAAACTCAGATCAGGCCTCATCAGCTGTAGCGTGGAATTGTCCAGGGTGGAGGCAGATGTAGGTGGAAGGAATCCCCCCTCTGCACAGGGAGCCTGGGACAAGGTGTTCCAGCCCTCCGCATCCCAAAGCCCTGCCTGACATCTCTAGAGAGTACCCAGAGCCAAAGGAAAGCAGTCCCCAGGCAGCCCTCTAACCCTCGACCTGAGGGAACCACTCTGGGGAGGACCTCTCCCCCTGGGCAGAGGATTGGAGCAGCCTGGGTCACAGGTCAAAGGTTTTTGGAGGGCCTTCCCAGGTCATAGTCCCAGCCCATGTACAGCATCAAATCAGAGAGTCCGGTTTAAATGGTGTGGAGTCCAGCCAGGCATGGGCATTTTAAAATAAGCTCCCCATTGGAGGCATGGCCGGAAACCACTGGGCCAATCCACCCTCTCATTGCCACAGAGCAGGGTCACTCATGGCATTAGAGCTCCTGTGGCTGTCGCCCTGGGGCTTTGTGGGAGCACAGAGGTGGGGCACCTGATCACCGAGGAGTGGAAAGTTGGGTGGGGTGGAGGACATGAGGGGAAGGAGGAGAGCATCAGGAAGGCCCTGCAGGGGGAGTTGACACCTGAGTTTCATCTTAAAGAAGAAATGGGAGGTATGAAAGGAAGGTGGAGAAAAAGAGAGGAATGGGGTTCCAGGCCCAGAAAAGCGCATGAACAAAGGTCCAGGGGCATGACTGCTGAAACACTACCAAATACCATGATGTAAAGAGCCTGAAGGGGTGGCTGGAGCTGAGGGTGGGGAGCTAGAGGAAGAAGAGCCACGCTATGCAACACTGAAGAGTTTTCTGCTCTCAGCCATGGAGAATGGGGACAGCAGAGGACTTTTCAGCACAAAGTGACACATCTGAGTTCTGTTTTAGAAAAATCACTGGGCAGAGATGTGGGAGGTGGACCTAAGGAGTATGGGAGCGACATCAGGGGCACCAGCTGAGAGGCTGCTATGTTTGTCCAGGAAAAGGGGATGGGTGGAGGTCTGGACTGAGGGTGAACAACTAGTTCTGGTTTGTCCAGGGACTGTCCTCACTTTAGCTCTGAAAGTCCCATGTCCCAGGAAACCCCTTACTTCTGGCAAAATTGGGATGGTTGGTGAACCTAGCT